ACCTTATAACCCGCACCCCCAGCCAGAGCCCTTTCCTCTCACATCCCTGTGTCTTGCCCTCTATCCCAGCCCTGAGCCCCTCATCCCCAGCCCCACCCAGAGCCTGCCCCCCCAGCCAGAGCCCCTGCACTCCAATCTTCTGTCCCAGACCTGAGCCTCTCATCCCTTCCCCCAAGCCTGCGCCCCCAGCTACAGCTTTTGTCCCCCTGCACTCCAATCTTCTGTCCTAGCCCTGAGCCCCTCGGCCCTGGTCCCACCCCAGAGCCTGTGCCCCCAGCCAGGGCCCTCACACTCCTGCACTGCAACCTTCTGTCCTTGCCCTGAGCCCCTCGGCCCTGGTCCCACCCCAGAGCCTGTGCCCCCAGCCAGAGCCCTCACACCCCTGCACTCCAACCTTCTGTCCTAGCCCTGAGTCTCTCAACCCCAGCCCCACCCCCGAACCGCCCCCCCCCAGCCAGAACCCTCATACCCCAAACCTCTGATCTACCTGAGAGCTGCTCAGCCCCAGCCTCTCCTCAGAGCCTGCACCCCTACTTGGAGCCTTCACATTCCTGCACCCCAACCCTCTGCCCCTGGCCTAAATGCCCTTCCACACTCAGGGTATGTCTACACTACCCCGCTAGTTCGAACTAGGGGGGTAATGTAGGCATACCCTCAGAAACTTCCACATTCTATGAACATTCTTGCCAACAAAAAAACTCCACGTCTGTGAATGTGTGACGGACATGGCTACGAAAAGCCACAAATATCATCAAAGAGAATTCAGCGGGGTTCCTCAAACTAACGTTCCCAAACATTTTGATAAAGCATTTGCCTAGCTTGGTTCACCATGGTTTCAGGCCTTCCTTCCCTTTGGTACCACATCTGTAAATATTGCAGTTCTCCCCAAAAAACTGCAGCCACAGCATTGCTGTGAAGAACTATTACTAGCTTTTCAGTAAAGAACTGAAAACAGAGTATTCTGATATAGAACTGCAATAGTCTGATGCAAAATGGCGCTTCAGTGCCTCACAGAAGTTGTAATTGTGTGCTTATGCTCTCATTCTATGGGCCTGGCTCCCTAATACATCACTTTCTCCCCTCTCATTGAGGGAATGCATCATAAAACTCCCAGGCTGGGGTGATCATGAGAAACGTCGGTTCTTATAAAGAGCATATTACTGCAGTTTGGTGTATTCATGAATTTATCCTTAACATACCCTTATAAAAGAGAGGAGTGTCAACCTCGTCCCTGTTTTTTCCAGATGAGAAAGCTCCAGGCCTCTGCTTGCTGAGGAGGTTTGAGTTCATCTGCCTACGCCACACCTGATATCTCCCACCCTGAGGTAACATCAAAATCCCTTCCACAACAACCAGTCTGGATGTCAGAGAATTACTCTTAGCTGCAGGTGGAGGGGTAAAAAGGGGGAACAATGAACTCTGGAGAATTCTATTTTTGTGGTAGGTAATGAAAGCGGGAACACAAGAACACAGAATTCATATGATCTACAAGCATCTGCATTCTCTCTAAATATAATGTTTTTGAAAGTTTAACAGGAGGTGTTAGGGTACTTGTGCAAGAGGGCGAGTGCAGATAGGGAAGAAGTGTTTTGCACAAAAAAGCCCCGATGGCTAAAATGGCGATTGGGGCTTTCTTGTGCAAAATTGCACCTAGACTGGCCATGGATGCTTTTGCACAAAAGCACTTTTTGTGCAAAAGCATCCGTGCCAATCTAGACGCACTTTTGCAGTAATACTTTTAACGGAAAAACTTTTCCATTAAAATTATTTCCACAAAATCTTGCCTTTCTGTAACTGTGTTAGTTTTTCAGAAGGCAAATTCACAGTTTAACACGCATCAATGACCAAAATGGATAAAAGACATCCTGTTGGAGGTGAAGCCAAAACTTTTGGTTTCTTGTTTAGTTTGTGATTAGGGGAAGATTGGCAGGTGATCGGAGCAGGTTTTAATCTTATTTGTTATATTTTGCTTCACAGTGCTGTTGAAAGTCTTGGTTTTTCTTCTTTTTTTGCTAGAACCTCAGAGGCCTTTAAGGCTTAATCTCTGTGGAAAGGAACATTGATCATTATCATCATTATTCTTATTGCTGGTGTCTATCAGATCAATATACGATGAATCTCTCTTGTGACTAATGACAGCCTGACTTCAAAAGGCTTGGATTTTAGTATGGATAATAAGCATTCAAGATTGTGGATGTTGATTCAAGCCCTCTGAACCTCTTGAGCCTGCACAATTTAGCCGGACAGCTCAAAAACATGCTTTCTTACAAGAGTCTCAGCTCTTTCTTCTTTTGTCAAGCCAGAAATACCACGAGAAACATGGGAAAAGATGTTCTTATGATGGAGACTTATGATGGTCCTGTCTAGAAGCCAGAAGGGCAAAGATGAATGAACAATTTAAAAACAGGAAGAAAAAAAAACAAGATTGCCAAAGTTTCAGAAAAGTCCAGGTTACAAGGAAAGGGAAAGGTTTGGAATTGAGACAGATTCAACCCAAAATCCAGGATCTAAATTTTGGGAGCTATACACAATTTAAATGTAAATCTGGATCTAATCCATTAAAAAAAACCTCATAAAATTATAGATTCAGATAGAAAAGACCTCAGGAGGCTCTCTAGTCCAAAGCTGGACCAACTCCAGCTAAATCATCCCAGAAAGAACTTTTCAAAGTGGACCTTCAAAACCTCAAGGATGGAGGTTCTAATACCTCCCGAGGTAAAATCATAGAATACTAGAACTGGAAGGGACGTCGAAAGGTCATCAAGTCCAGTCCTCTACCCTCAAGCATCTTCTAGATCAGGGATTTCCAACCTGGGGTACGCATACCCCCAGGGGGTATGAGAAGCTTGTCAAGCAGATACGGGGAATATTTGGTAAATAACTAGATTATCCTAACTGAAATATTCCAAAAGTAGTAGTGTTGGTGAAAAAAGTTGTGGATTCTAGAGTCTAGAATTTATTTCCTTTCATATTGAAGAGGAGGTACGGGAAGGTTTACTAAAAGCCAAGGGGGTACTGGGACCGAAAAAGGTTGGGAACCCCTGATCTAGAAAATCCCTGATAGATGTCTGTCCCACCTGCTCTTAAATATCTTCAGTGATGGAGATTCCACAACTCCTCCTAGGCAATTTATTCCAGTGTTTAACCACCCTGACAGTTAGGAAGTTTTTCCTAATGTCCAACCTAAACCTCCCTTGCTGCAGTTTAAGCCCATTGCTTCTTGTCCTATCCTCAGAGGCCAAGGAGAACAATGAATAACTCTCTCCAGTGCTTCACTATCCTCCTAATGAAATAGTTTCTCCTAATATCCAATCTAAACCTCCCCCACTGCAACTTGAGACCGCTGCTCCTTGTTCTGTCCTCCTCCACATTGAGAACATGAAGATTGTGAGATGAACAGATACTATGTTGATGAGGACCACTGTGGTACCAAAGATAGGTAGAGCTGTTCAATTAGGGGATGGAGGACCTATTTCCGGATTCAAACTCTGGGGTACATGCTCTTGCCTACTTCATAGTGGTGCAGTAGACGAGTGTTGTGAGAAATGCTGAGAAATGTACGCAGTACGACTGATCCCCCATGTGTGCATATTGTATTTTTGGTCTTAATAGTGGACTGGAAATCTTGGAGCACTTGCCAGCTGTTTAGTCAAACATGGCAACAAGCCACAGCGGTGTGAAGAAAAATATTGTATGGCATAAAACAATGCCCAACATCAGGGTCACGACTGAGGTTTGAGGCTGTGACAACCAGAGCTAAAATCATGAGCCTACATAGCTTAAGCCAGGGGTGGGCAAACGGTCCTCCGAGGGTCGGATCCTGCCCCCCAAAACGGTGGATCTGGCCCACCAAACCAGTTGATCCAGCCCACGGCCGCCCTGCCATTCCCCTACCCCCAGGCCAATCAGGGCGTGGGGGTGGGAGAATGTGTGAAGTGTCCTCGCCCCTGCAAGGGCATGCGGCGCCTGGAGAGACACATCAGCTGTTTTAAAAAAGCCGGCTTTTCTCTCTAGCTGCCCCCACACCTTTGGCGGAGGGAGCTTCGTGCACTCTCTGTCCCAGGCCAACCAGGGTCTGCGGGCAGGAAGCGCATGAAGTCTCTCGCGTCCTTTCCCCGCCCTGCCAAGGGTGCGCAACAGCTAGAGAGACACACTGACTGGTTTTAAAACATCCGGCGTGTCTGTCTAGCCACCTCACATTCTTGCGGGGGGAGGAGACTTTGCACGCTCCCCCTCGCCCAGGCCTTGATTGGCCCGGGGACAGGGAGAGCCCGTGAGATATCCTCTTACTAGGCGCCTAGAGGCAACGCCAACTGTTTTAAGACTTCTTGAGCTCCCCTACCCTGCGCCAATTAGTGTGGGGGGGGAGGGGCAAAAAGACTCCTGGCCCCACCCCTTCCACCCAAGGCCCTACCCCTTTCTGGGGTGGCCCGTGGCCACTTCAGAAATTTCTGCAGTGCCCCCTTTTAAAAATGCTTGCTCGCTCCGGCTAACGCTAACACACTACCAAAGCCTGGCTCTGGTTAGGACAGTGACAAAACTACCTTTGACTTCAATGATTCTAGTATTTCCCAGCAGTAAACTGGAGTAAATTCATATTCTCTGTGGCTTGGGCACCGAGGGGAACACGTGCCTGAGTTGCAATAGTGCTGCACATGTAAGCACTGCAGATGTAAAAGCACTGCAGAAACAAATGGCTAGCCCTAAGAGGAAAACTACTTCTTAAATTGCTGTTATCTAGTCTTTGTGCTAGCGTGGTGGCTACGAGGCCGAATCCTGCACCAGAACACCATGGTGCCAGGTGCTGTACAAACACAGAACAGAAAGACAGTCCCTAAGCCAATGGCAAAAAGTTCACCTCAGCACTAAAACCGGAGTGCGAAAGGTCGAAGGGTTTGCCTCCTCAGCCTCCGAGTCTTCATTCAAAAGCATCGCCACCTCAGTACACACACAGAGGAACCATGTTTATGACACACAAAAAACGGTGCTGTTTTTCTTACCAGTAGAACCTGTTGGGTGCGACATTCTCCTGGAGAAGCTGCCATCTTCTGCCAAACTCAACCGAACTGTATAACTGGAGAGAAAACAAAATACAATCACTGAACCTTCCTGACCTTTGCTTTTTTAAAACTGGAAAAAAAAAAGATCACACTGAAGTTTGAGGACAATCCCAGTCAACCTGGGCACAGAATTTGCAACTCACATGGCTTTGGATGTGTTCTCTGGCATCTGTTTCCTCCGGGGCATTGCCTCCGAAATCAAAGGGCTGATCTATGGACAGCCAGAAGGCTCTGACTACAATGGAAATGACCAGCATGCCCTGTGGGCCAGGGCCCTTTTATGGCTTTGGAAAGGCCATGGGAAGAGAGGGATTCTGTAGCATTGGGGTGGGATGTGGAGGGGGCTACATTATGCATTTATTCCTTGTGTGCTACAGATCCAAGCTCTCCCATGGCCATCTCCACCATGGAGTAGGGGGGTCAGAATTCTGGGAAATGGCAGAGGGATGCCCAGGAGATCTGTAAAGTCTGTACTCATCCCCAAGTCTGTACTCATCACAAACTCTGCATTAATAGGGTACTGCCTCTGGTGGTCACTAGTACAGCTGCCTCCTGGATGGGGAGGAGAAATCTGATCCCTGTTTCTCCTCCATGAAAATCCTATTTCACTTTGCACAGAGAAACTGAATTTTGCTCATGGGTGGGAGAAGGGAGTTGTATTTCTACAGACCTGTCCCGCATTAGATGATACTTCAATTATTTTCACCCAACTCACAATCATGCTCTTGGAGATTTCCGGCACAGGTCATGCTCTGTGGGTGTACTGTTGCCCACCCCAGAATAGAGCGCCACTGAAATGCTGGAACTAAAAGAAGCCTGTGTACTATTTGCCATTCTCTCACCCTTTGGCTCCCGACTGAAGGATCCCTCGTTACCACTGGCCACCCTTGAAGAGTCAACCACGGTTCAAATAGCTTGACTGGACTGTAGCAAATTATGCCTATGAGCCATTAGCAGCTAAACACAATGCTTGTGACTGTATGCAGCTGCAAACAATTGCCTGAGATATATAACACAGAGTCTAGTTCTTTTCATCCTGAATTGATGCTTGCCAAGGGTGCTGAATTGGATCATGGAGAAATGAAAGATACTTAGCTATCCGTGAAGTTCTTCATGACAGACTCTGCATACTCCCACAGAGCTTCGAACAGGGAGGGGCAACTGAGGCCAGTGAATGGGCCGCATGAAGGGCCTCTTTCATCTCGGCGGGCTCAAGATTATTGTAAACCAGACAGTCTCCTGGGACAGGGTAGTTGTGCGAACGGCGCTTGCGTCCCTAGAAATTGCGGGATGTGCCCACTGAACCATAGCAGTGCTTTGATTGGCTACAAGAGGGAGCGCACAACTCTCACAATGTTGTGTACAATGAGCAGGCACCTCACTTCACATGCCCTGGCTTTCTATGCGCATGTCACTTTAATTTAACGGGTAGGGAAAAAAAAACCTACATGGATGGAAAGCATTGGAATCTGGCAACCCTACGTGTGGACAACGGTAAACAAAATGTGATATGGGCCACACACGGAACCCTGTGGGACTGCAGGTGGCCCACGGGCTACAGACTGCCCACCAGAGGTATGTCTACACTAGCCCCCTAGTTTGAACTAGGGAGGCTAATGTAGGCATTTGAAGTTGCAAATGAAGCCTGGGATTTAAATATCCGGGGCTTTATTTGCATCTTCCCCTCCGGTCGCCATTTTTAAATTCCACTAGTCCGAAGTAACTGCCCATGGCTACACGCAGCAGTTAAACGGCAATTCGAACTAAGTCCTTAGTTCGAATTAACTGTTACTCCTCATGGAACTTGCAACTTTGAATGCCTACATTAGCCTCCTGTAGACATACCCCAGGGCTGTGTCTAGACTTGCAAGTTTTTCTGGAAAATCAGCCGCTTTTCCGGAAAAACTTGCCAGCTGTCTACATTGGGCGCTTGGATTTCCGGAAAAGCATTGACGATCTCATGTAAGATCGTCAGTGATTTTCCGGAAATACTATGCTGCTCCCGTTCGGGCAAAAGTCTTTTTCTGAAAGACTTTTGCGCAAAAGGGCCAGTGTAGACAGCACAGTACTGTTTTCTGCAAAAAAGCCCCGATCACTAAAATGGCAATCGGGGCTTTTTTGCGGAAAAGCGCGTCTAGATTGGCCACGGACGCTTTTCTGCAAAAAGTGCTTTTCTGGAAAAGTGTCCTGCCAATCTAGACGAGCTTTTCCGAAAATGCTTTTAACGGAAAACTTTTAACGGAAAATCATGCCCGTGTAGACGTAGCAGGGGTTTAGAAATTAGAATGCATATTAAGTTGGCTGGTGGGGAAGAAGCTCTAACTAAACAAGGGCTAGAACATGAATCTACCAAACGATGCATCTGACCTAGTTGTGATCGCTAACAATGCCTTGGGAATGTGTGTACTGAATGCTGTGTGATTGCTCCAAAAATGTCTACTATCTGAATCTGTTTCAAACATGTCATCAAGGCTGCAATTTCTCTAGTGAAGTCTACTATCGGAAAAAGGAGCACGGTGAAGCACTGTGATACATTTCTAGTATACGCTGTCTGAGCCCTTTAATAATGTTTGTGCGGAAAGAGGATTTCCTTTACAGTTACCCGCATACATAAACTATTTAAGTGAAAATCTATTTGGTCCTATCCAAATAGAAGGATAAGACTCTTTTGGTATACAAATCGTATAGCTTTGATTCTGCCCTTATTTGAATGAAAACCCGGGCGGCGGGGGGACGGACGGACGACGATCCACAGACAATGCAATGGGCTGATTGATAACTTTTCATATGAATCTCCGGTGTGGATGAAGAACTACTTTGTCCTTATAAAAAGCTGTAAATGAAGAGTCAGTTATTAAGGCATGAAGTTCACTCATCCTCCCAGCTGATGTGATTGCTCTAATAACGGCAGTCTTAATTGAGAGATGAAATAAAGAACATGAAGATAAGGACTTAAAGAGTGGAGACATAAGCTGTGACAGCATGAAATTAAGCACCAGGGTGCTACAAGATCTCTCCTCAGCGGTGGGGTACAAATTTAGTAACTCTCAAAGAAACTTAATAACCTCATTCAAAAATACAGATTTGCCATCTATTACTATCTCTGTGTGAGAAACAGTTGTTTCATGAAAGATCTGCCTTTAGCAAAGCAACCGATACACCTTTATGCTTTAAATATAACCAATACTCGAATATAGATTGAATAGGGCTGATGCAGGATCTGTTTTCTATCAGAGTTCCTGTCATGAAAACCACATCTTTTTTTAATTCCAAATATGTTCTAGTTGATTTTCTTCCGGCATTAAATTGAACATATTATGGCTACGTCTACACTGCAGGGTTTTTGCGCAAGAAGTCTTTTGTGGAAGAGTTTTTGCGCAAAAACATCTTGCGCAAAAGCGCGCCCACACCTCAAAGCGCATCGCTTTTGTGATGTGCTTTTGCACAAGACAGCACCCAAACAGCCTGGATGCTCTCGTGCATGAAAGCTCTGATGGCCATTCATAGAATGGTCATCAGAGCACCTTTGCTTTTTTGGATAGGCTCTATTTGTGCAAGAAACCCCTGCGGAGTGTCCACATGTGCCTTTTCTGTGCAACAGCTGTAGCGCAAAAAGGAGTTATGCCTCGTAGAACGAGGTTTACCTACACCACAAAAAGCCCTCTGTTCTGCCATTTTACTGTCGATTTACTTGTGCAAAAGCATGCTTCAGGTGTGGACGCTCAGCAGGTTTTTGCACAAAAATGGCCGTTTTTGAGCAAAAACCTTGTAGTGTAGACATAGCCTAAATGACCAGAGAGAAAGTCGTCTCCAAGTCTTTTGGAGATGGACTGCCCATGCTGGCAGATGCAATGATGGCTCAGGATGGTATATACTGTCCCTGGTTGTTGTATGAGAAGCCCTGTTCACACTGGGAAGAATCTCTGGCCCCTTCTGGAAAGAAAGAGCACCCCCGTGAACTGTGGCTGCCACAGCCATGCTGGGGCATTCGGCATCCCATCCAAGGAGGAACATCTCATCTACTGTAATGGGGTTCCTCCTTGCTGTTCCAGGGATTAGTTCCGCTAGCCAGTGCACGCTCTTCGGGTGCTCTTTCTCCCTGCCATCACGTCTGCTCCCAGTTCCAGGACGTGGTATCCTCTTCATGGCACAGCCCTCTGGCTATGCTGCACTCTCTGCTCCCCCCTCCAGGGGGCAGTATTGTAGTCTCAATCTCATTGCTGAATAAGGGTGTGGGGGGGACTCAGGCCCACCCACTACTCCCAGTCACAGCTCAGGGATTCTGTAATAGGGCCAGCACTTGCTGCAGACACTCTATCTTCGCACTTCATTTCTCTCCAGCCTCCGGCACCTTCTTTGCCCTTACTCCAGGGCTTCAGCCTGTCAATCTTAGCAGCTAGCCGGGTGTCTTCTCTAGCCTCCCCAGGTCCTGCTGGCAACACTTCTCTGTCCTGGGTGCTGTCACTCCTTCATCCTGCCAGAAGCCTGTTCTTCCCTCCTCATGCTGCAGGCAGCTACTGAACCTGTTCTGACCTGCAGCTCTTCTTGTTTGGACCTACCTAACCCTGATTGGCTGCTCCTCACAGCCCTTCTCTGATTGGCTACCTCCTTCGCAGTCTCTCTAGGACTCCATTAATCTCTTGGGCTATGTCTACACTGCAGAGCTAGCAAGCCCATTATATCAAGATATATTCGGACATGCCTGTAAACCTTATCGCACGAGGGTTAAGAGATGTTTCGTAATATTGCCTTATATTGAAATTTGGCGCTGTGTAGAAAATAAGCTATTTTGAAATTCTCTCAAAATAAGTGCATAATGCAAATTACGTAGCTTATTTCAAACTAAGGGTGCTGTGTAGACACGCCATTAGATTCCAGGTTCGGACAGGCTCCCCATCACACAGAGATTGCATACTCACTCTCACTGGAAAAAAATAACAGTATTTCCTGTTGACTCTTATTGAAAATAGGTCTACCTTGGGTATACCACAAAGAGCAACACTGTCTTGGATTC